TTCTACTTGCGTTAAAGGTATATCCAAACTCAAAACAACATAGGCTTAATTACCTTAAATAATTGTACAGGGATTAAGAAAGTAGCTGCGTCTTACTGGTCTTACTGTACATAAATATATATATTTAATTGTGTATGTATGTATGTATGTACTTTACATACATTTTAGTCATACTATTTTCATATTTTACTAAAGATTAAAAAAAAATTAAATCCAAAATAGCTAACAGAGTTGCTACTACAGTATAATTTTATATTTTGTGTCTTGTCATGTCTAGGTCTTTATTAAAATATGAAAGGAGTATGACTAAAATGTATGTAAAGTACATGTACTTTACATACATTTTAGTCATATTCTTTTCATATTTTAATGAAGATTAAAAAGAAATTAAATCCAAAATAGCTAACAGAATTGCTACTATAGTATAATTTTATATTGTATTATATTTTATAATGTATGTAAAGTACGTGTACTTTACATACATTTTAGTCATACTCTAATTTTATATTGTATTATATTTTATAATGTATGTAAAGTACGTGTACTTTACATACATTTTAGTCATACTCTTTTCATATTTTAATAAAGATTAAAAAGAAATTAAATCCAAAATAGCTAACATAGTTGCTACTACAGTATTATTTTATATTTTCTGTCTTGTCGCGTCTAGGTTCGTTATCCTGATAGAATCACGTTGGTGAGAGGAAATCACGAATCACGAGAGATAACGCAAGTTTGTGGCTTTTATGACGAGTGCTTATGTAAATACGGCAGTATAACAGTACGGCAGTATTGCACAGAGATATTTGCCGATTCTGTAACCCAAGGTTCTTATAGCGTCAAAACGTATCTCCTTCTACTTACGTTAAAGGTATATCCAAACTCAAAACAACATGGGCTAAATTACCTTAAATAATTGTACAGGGATTAAGAAAGTAGCTGCGTCTTACTGTACATAAATATATATATTTAATTGTGTATGTATGTATGTATGTATGTACTTTACATACATTTTAATCATACTATTTTCATACTTTACTAAAGATTAAAAAGAAATTAAATCCAAAATAGCTAACAGAGTTGCTACTACAGTATAATTTTATATTTTCTGTCTTGTCGCGTCTAGGTCCGTTATCCTGACAGAATCACGTTGGTGAGAGGAAATCACGAATCACGAGAGATAACGCAAGTTTGTGGCTTTTATGACGAGTGCTTATGTAAATACGGCAGTATAACAGTACGGCAGTATTGCACAGAGATATTTGCCGATTCTGTAACCCAAGGTTCTTATAGCGTCAAAACGTATCTCCTTCTACTTACGTTAAAGGTATATCCAAACTCAAAACAACATGGGCTAAATTACCTTAAATAATTGTACAGGGATTAAGAAAGTAGCTGCGTCTTACTGTACATAAATATATATATTTAATTGTGTATGTATGTATGTATGTATGTACTTTACATACATTTTAATCATACTATTTTCATACTTTACTAAAGATTAAAAAGAAATTAAATCCAAAATAGCTAACAGAGTTGCTACTACAGTATAATTTTATATTTTCTGTCTTGTCGCGTCTAGGTCCGTTATCCTGACAGAATCACGTTGGTGAGAGGAAATCACGAATCACGAGAGATAACGCAAGTTTGTGGCTTTTATGACGAGTGCTTATGTAAATACGGCAGTATAACAGTACGGCAGTATTGCACAGAGATATTTGCCGATTCTGTAACCCAAGGTTCTTATAGCGTCAAAACGTATCTCCTTCTACTTACGTTAAAGGTATATCCAAACTCAAAACAACATGGGCTAAATTACCTTAAATAATTGTACAGGGATTAAGAAAGTAGCTGCGTCTTACTGTACATAAATATATATATTTAATTGTGTATGTATGTATGTATGTATGTACTTTACATACATTTTAATCATACTATTTTCATACTTTACTAAAGATTAAAAAGAAATTAAATCCAAAATAGCTAACAGAGTTGCTACTACAGTATAATTTTATATTTTCTGTCTTGTCGCGTCTAGGTCCGTTATCCTGACAGAATCACGTTGGTGAGAGGAAATCACGAATCACGAGAGATAACGCAAGTTTGTGGCTTTTATGACGAGTGCTTATGTAAATACGGCAGTATAACAGTACGGCAGTATTGCACAGAGATATTTGACTATTTATCGTTACCTGCCATTAATGACAGCAAGATTTTTTGTGTTCACGTTGGATTATTGCGCAGTATTCAGACAATAGATCAAATCCGGACTATACTGACAGAAAATAAGAAGTGAGTTTTTTTTTATTACTGTCTGTTTGTCATAGGTCTTTTGTAACAGTCGAATGGAACTAAATGTCTTTAACATAGAGATATTTGAATTGATTTTTTGTAACGTCTATTCCAGCAAAATGTCGGTTCCAACTGTCTCAAGCTGTAGCCGAAAACGAAAAAGGAGTTCTGTGCATGACTTTTTCATAACGCTTAACGAAATTTCAGTACGATGTACTTTGTGTCAAAAGGTCTATAAAAACCATGGAAACACAACTAATTTAGTTAACCACCTAGAACGAATTCACCCAACACACATCAATTCTAAAAGTGATTCTGCACAAAAAAAGATATCCACGCGAACATCAGTCGATAGTGTCAATTACGAATCTGAAGCTGAAGATGATCCTATATTGATCGAACCTGATCCGGCTTTACTACCATCAACATCGGGCACTCAATTTAAACGATCGAGATCTTGCACCCCGATACATAAATCAGAAGCGGGTATGTCCGGCATAGTTCGTTCAACATCGGAGGAGCCTTCGACTAGTTCGACTCTGATCCAGAAACAAGTGAAGCAACCATCCATCGACAAAGCTTTCCACAAAATCAAAGCATACACTGGTAATTTATAAGCATATATGCATATTTATAAGCATATTTATATTTATATCATGGTTTATTTAAATTTTATTACTTTAGATGGTGGTAGTACGGCGTGTAAGATTATGAACGCTATCGTGTATATGATAGCGGTGGACCAACAGCCTTTCTCGATGGTCGAGGACAAAGGATTCAGGAATCTCTTAAGTATCGTGGCACCTCTATACACTGTGCCATGTCGAAAAACTATTACAAAACGGACAGACGAAAAGTACGAGCTACTCAGTTCGATAATCAAGACTATGCTTTCAAAAGCCGAACATCTTTGTTTAACTACAGACATCTGGACAGAACCATTTAATACCCGAAGTTATATCGGCATCACTGTACATTACATCAATTTTGAAGCTATGCGATTGGAATGTATATCTCTGGGAATAAAGGAACTTGAAAAAAGCCATAACGCAGAATATATATCAATAATTATAAGCGAGGTACTAAATGAGTGGCACATTAATGCTGATGCAGTAGTAGCTGTAATTACAGACAACGCTTCCAACATTGCGAAGGCGATGCGCGATACGTTTGGGCATCGAAAACATCTGGGATGTTTCGCTCACACCCTAAATCTAGCTGTCCAAGATGCAATCGCTGCTACACCGGAATTCCAGACTGTGGTGAAGAAAGTGAAATCTATTGTCACGTATTTCAAACGCAGCGTCAAAGCAGCTGACGCACTTAAGGAGTTACAGACATCGGATCTTGAAAACGGTGGACCGGTTTTAAAATTAAAGCAGGAATGCGAGACACGCTGGAATTCGCTTTTTTATATGATAGAGAGATATATTCAATTGGTAAACCAAGTGAACACCGTATTGATCACCCTTCCGCGAAAAAAGCAGGAGGATGTCCCAGAGATGACAACACGCGCCGAACTACAAATTTTGAAAGATGCCTGTGCCATTTTGTGTCCAATCGAATGTGTTACCACGGAAATGTCGGGCGAGTCGTATGTCACGTGCAGCAAAATCATCCCCATCGTTAATTGCCTAGTGAAAACTTTGGAAAAACTGAACATTGAGCACGATATTTCAGACTATCTGCACAAAAATATTTTACGAGAACTTCGCAAAAGATTTGTGAATGAAGATTCAAACGTTGAAAAAAACGTTATGCTCGCTATATCCACTTTGCTGGACCCACGCTTCAAGAAACTGCACTTCCGCAGTCCATTAGCTGTTTCTACAGCAATGAGTAAGATATGTCAATTGATGAAAGAAAATACTGTTGAGAAAACAAAAGATTTGTGGAACGTTCACGATGAATTGATAGCATCTTCATCAACAAACTGCGACGAGCCTGGTGGCGTACCAGTCGAACTTCGACAGTTCCTTAATGCTAATGTCGTCAACAGAAGCGAGGATCCACTAAAAGTTTGGTATAAACTGAAGGATATTTATCCAAAGGTGTACGAAATAGCCATGAAATATTTCGTGATTGTGGGAACGTCTGTCCCATCTGAACGCTTATTTAGTGCTGCTGGAGATATTAGCGCAAAAAGAAGCAGAATTACTGGAAAAAGGGCATCGGAGATTATATTTCTAGGATCTCTACCTAAAAAATACTGGACCTAAGTCACAGCGGTGCGGCGTCTCACCCGTATACCACATTATGTGGTTCGTGAAGTGCTTCCTCGTAAACGACTTACCGCATATTTTACAACGGAACGGCGTGTCGTTTGTGTGCGAACGCATATGGTTAGCGAGATGCTTCAAGATGATACATGCTGTGTATACTTAATATATAATTGCGTCGAAGAAGTGTGAAGATTGTGCGCCATTCATTGTTTCCTTAAGGACCTAGATTACACTATTACAGTGGATTTACCATGCGCCATTTGAATTAACGGTGTCTCGTGTGCTGATTCAATTTGCTTCGTGATGCCGCACCAGCTGCACACCATTTTCGTTTCATAAGATTCACAGTGAACTTCATTCGGGACGATGTAGAGCGATTGCTCGTGATACGCGCGTAAAACGCGCATTAAAACTGCATTGATGACTATTTATTGCTACGGCAATTATTATTATCCATAACTATTATTATCTAAAGTTTGATTTTGTTTCGTTTATACTTGTACTTGATAAGTCGATTTTGGTAACGAGCATATTAATGTATTCGCGCCAAATTTGCGCAAGTGGGGTATCCTATTGTAAAAGAATTTCGCGACTATATGATGAACATGTAATAATTCTTCTTCGTTATTACTTTAGTAATCTTCCATAATTTTAACAAAAAGGCACTAATTATAATGTCAATATCTCGGATTACGTTTGTACGTTATTTTTATGCGAGGAGTGTGTCTGTGTGCATTCGCCAATTAATGAGGTGGCATAGTAGTGTCGGACAAAATATATTTGCAAGTAATGAAAACACACCATTTTCGTTTTATAAGATTCACAGTAAACTTCGTTCGGGACGATGTAGAGCGATTGCTCGTAATACGCGCATAAAACGTGCATTAGAACGTTGATATGACTGTTTATTGCTACGGCGATTATTATCCATAACTATTATTATTCAAAGTTTCATTTTGCTTCGTTTATACTTGTACTTGATAAGTCGATTTTGGTAACGAGCGTATTAATGTATTCACTGCAAATTTGTGCAAGTGGGGTATTCTGTTGTAAAAGAATTTCGCGACTTTATGATGAACATGTAATAATTCTTTTTCGTTATTACTTTAGTAACCTTCCATAATTTTAACAAAGAGGCACTAAATTATAATGTCAATATCTCAGATTACGTTTGTATGTTATTTTTATGCGAGGAGTGTGTCTGCGTGCATTCGCCAATTAATGAGGTGACATAGTAGTATCGGTACAGTAGTGTCGAACAAAATATATTTGCAAGTAATGGAAATAACGACTTTAAGTATATGTATATTTTCCTGTGAAAATATATATTTGAAAATAATTATTTGCAAATATATTTTAGCCAATATTGGGACGTACATTGAGATGCAATTATCCAGATGCGAATTAAGGCAAATGCTCCGAAAATAATTTTGTAATTGAAGACAGTATAGATATTGATACTGCATCTACAGCAATGATTTAAGTTTATTAAATGTGCAATTAAATAAAAATTTTATAGCGTGTTGCAATTACATTTGTTTTATTATTAAAAACCTTTGATTGCAATCAAATTCTTGATCTTAATCGTGCTTTATTTAAATTTTTACATCATAATTAGTCAGTCCTTTATATGGTTACCTATCATTATATATATAATGATAGGTAACCATATAAAGGACTGACTAATTATGATGTAAAAATTTAAATATATATATATATATATATATAATGATAGGTAACCATATAAAGGACTGACTAATTATGATGTAAAAATTTAAATAAAGCACGATCAAGAATATATAATGGCTTCAAAATCTTTAGATAAGAACCCGATTTTTAATCGATTATCTTATAATCGATTCATTTTAGTCCGATTAATCGAATCGTAAATTCTTTTTTGCTAAAATTAATCGATTATGAGAATCGATTATTTTTAACGCGATGTCGCATTTTACACGCCGTTGTTATAATGGCCGCGTTCAGAAGACACAACTGTTGAGTTCGTCTTATCAACACTCTGCGTTGATTGGTTGGTTCTAAAAGTAAGAGCCAATCACGTTCGACTGCTAATGAGCGGCTTGGTCTGCTGAACGCGCCCTGTGATATCGGCCTATAATAAATATTTCTAAACGTTACTTTAATGTTCCTTAATTGCTTACTGGGTCACTACCGATATATATATATATATATATATATATATATATATATATAGATATATATATATGTATTATTCCCTCCTATTTCGCTTTACTTTTTGGTATTTGAGTGTTTCCTAAAGCCCGGTGTCCACGATGCAAGAACTGTGTCCAAGTTTCGGTTTAAGCCAATGAAACTGCTACTTTTCTGTAAGAGCTGCAAGTTGATTGGCTTAAATCGAAACTTGGACACAGTTCTTGCATCGTGGACACCGTACTTAAAGAAGGAGATATATATTCCATGACTTATTTTAGAAAGAAAAGATCCTACACATGCCCTAAACTGCTTTATTTTCAAAATACAGGGTATCAAAGTTGTGAAAAAAAAAAAGAAATACAAATTTCGAAAATCTGGAAAACACTTAAAAATATTTTCTTCAAATTTTAAATACTATTTCCCAGTATCGATAAAATTTTGAGATTCATCAGGGGCGTGCGTTTGTCGAAAACAAAGCAGTTTAAAGCGAATGGGACTCAATTGACCACGTCGTCAATTGGCTGATTTAAAATAAAAATATCTGATTGGCTGGTCCAGTGGAAAAACTCCAGGCACTGGAGGGGCCACTGGGGGCTGTGAGCTGTGAGTGGCTGTAGTCAATCGCAAACGCCGTAGAGGTGCCAGTCGGGTGACGTTTTCGAACGCAGCCCTATGCGCATCATGCGTGAAACGGAACGCACTCCAACCGACCGCGCGCAGCGCAGACACGAGACCACGGACGCAATGCACAATGAACGGAATAAAGGCCTTCACTTCACACATAAAATCGCGTAAGGACGTAAAACGTAAGCGTAAGAAAATCGACCAATCCCAATCAAGTATTGTGCTGTCCTAAGTAATATAAACAGTTTAGACTTATATTATTAAAAATTATATTCTGGTTATCACAAATATCACTTAGGCCGGTATTCATAGTCGGATCTTATATTTAAGATCGTCTTAAGAACGATATTAAGATGTTATGAACCAATCACAGAGCCATATTGGCATCATAAGATATTACTTAAAACGGCCTTGAAATAAGATCTGATTACGAATACCGGCCTTATATTTGTTTGTACTATATTATTATTAGACAAATTTTCTTTGGTTTTGTCTTTTTTTTTAATTGTCGTCTTTTTGCAACAACAATATCCAAAAATTCTCTATCATCAAGGTCATAGCTACTATTTATCATATTCCCTCGTAGTTTTCCATTTCCTGTTCAAGCATCGCCGGGTCAACATCGCGTGTTACGAGCAGTTACGAGATCCAAAGTAATCGCGAATAATCGTTCGACATCCGACGAGGAGGAGATAGTATCCGGCCGCGACCGTTATCCGCAGGCTTTATTATAAGCATCCGGAAGTGAATAAATCGTTTTTTATAAGAAAATCGCGAGTGAAGCGAAAAAATGACGCAGTTTCTGCCGCCAAATTTGCTCGCGCTGTTCTCGCCGCGCGAGCCGATGAAATTTTGGCCACTCGCGAGCAAGCAGCACGAGAAGAACGACGGCTGCTACACCGGCGTCGGGGCCTTCGTCACGTCCCAGGTAGCAGACAGTCGTCATAATGACGTGATTCTAACGTCATATTATGACGTATGTTACGTCATTTATTCCTAAAGTTTAACGTAAAAATGACGTATTTTTCACGGTCCTAAGTCACATCCCAACGACGTCATTTTCTGACGTTTTATTGACGGCAAAAATAGGTCTAATGTACGACATACCGGTTTCTAGAAATGTTTTTTATGAAATTAAAATTTTAAAATGTCTACTTGATAAACGTTTACAAAAAAATGTTCTTTTTCTTTATTTAAAAAAAAAAAGCTTTTTTAACTGTTTCGTTACATGCCATGTGCGTATAGCCGCTCTCAAGGCGGTCACCCATCCTAGCACAGTACCGCGTCCGAGTCGCTTGACTTCGATGATCCAGTGGACAGTGACGATCTTCTCACCCTGATGTTTCCTTATTAACTGTACTTGTCTATAACAGGTACATCTTTAAAGTGTTCAAAAATCTTGTAATGATATCTTTTTGATAGTTATAACACTGCATGAAATAGTTGTCATAAAACTATAATTACACACGCAACTAGATCCACTTATACCATAAATTCACCACGTCGTTCATAAAGTTACGAAACACTTTATGAATGTAGGAATATTCCTGTGAAAAATGTCATTTTTACGTTAAACTTTAGGAATAAATGACGTAACATGCGTCATAAAATGACGTAGGAATCACGTCATTATGACGACTGTCTGCTACCTGGGTAGTCAATTAAACGTCTATATAATGTCATTTTACAAAGTCTTTTTGACGTATTAAAACATGACGTTAAATATACGTCACATAATCGACGAATGACGTTACTGACCAATTATGACCAAATATTGACGTCAAAATGACGAGTGCTTGCTACCTGGGGTGTTTCGAGGTAAATCATCTTGGGATCTATTACGTATCTTTTCACGAGATGCATACTCGAGATATTAAAAAATTATCAGATTGAAGTTATTAGCTCGAACAAATTCAGATGGAACTCTATTGAAAGCCATGTATAAATGGAAAACATGCAGTTTATAATGCAATATAAGGAAACAATCCACATGCATAAACATGGCATAAATATATGCAAAAGCAGTATAATAGTATATCAACGTAGTAATGCAATCGACAAGAGGGGGGGGGGAAGGTCTGTTACGTATCTTTTCACGAGGTGAAAATGCGAAAAGTGAACAGATTTACTAGATTTCGACCAATGAAATCGTAGATACTCTAATGAACTCTCTCACTTTTCGCATTTTTACCTCGTAAAAAGATACGTAATAGACCCCCCTCTCGTCAATTGCATTACTACATTGATATACTATTATACTCCTACTCTTTTTGCATATATTTATGCCATGTTTATGCATGTGGATTGTTTCCTTATATTTCATATAAACTGCATGTTTTCCATTTATACATGGCTTTTAATAGAGTTCCATCTGAATTTGTTCGAGCTAATAACTTCAATTCAATCTGATAATTTTTTAATATCTCAAGTATGCATTATTATTATTGTTATGTATATCTGTATTTTTCAAATGACGGCTAAGTGATAGTTTTTATGGTCATATTTGGTTTATTTACATGTTAATAATTGGAAAAATTCAAAAATAAAGCAGGATACAAATTTTTACGTCAAAATTGTTGACTAGTGTAATTGACGCACATTGGAAGCCTAAAATAAAATATATCTAATAATTTACAGTATTGTTATAGTCGCTTAAGATAAGATTTGTTTTTTATTCTTTTTCATTTTCTTGTTTATTTTACTAATATTTTTAATGATAGAAAAATATATTTTTTTTATAGGATCCTAAGGATATTTCGCCACCTCTGCACGTAGAGACCCGTGAAGAACATGCAGAGGATGTTGCATACAAAATGGAAAAAGAAATTGCAGCATGGGATCCGGCAGGCAATGCTAATGTTACAGCGGATCCCTTCAAGACCCTCTTCGTAGCTAGAATGGTAAGTGTTCAGCAAATATATAATTATATAAGCTATTACGTAGAATACATCTTAACATATGTTTGTTCTTCTGTTACAGAATTATGACACCTCAGAATCCAAACTGAGAAGAGAATTTGAAGTATATGGACCGGTAAAAAAGGTAAATATTTTTCCAAAAATAAACTTTTTTTTTTAACTAGAATTTAATTAAGGTTTATTAACGAATTTGTTTTCTTTTTGCAGGTTGTGGTAACACAAAATACAATTAATGGCAAGCCTAGGGGATATGCTTTCATCGAGTATGAACATGAAAGAGATATGCACGGTAAGTAGCTGCAACTTAAAAAGATAAAAAAAAAAAAAAATAGAAACGTTACTCTTGTTGCGAAGCTCAATGAGCCCCATATAGTCTGGAATTTCATCTTATTTAGGGCCAATTTCACCAACCACAGTTAGCTTAACCGATGGTTAAAGTTAGCAGAATTGACCAATAGAAATGAATCCACCCTGCTTTCTATTGGTCAATCCTGCTAACTTTAACCGTCGGTTAAGCTAACTGTGGTTGGTGAAATTGGCCCTTAGCGTCGCGTCCAGTTAGATATTATGGGGGTAGGGCTATAGTTAGGCTACTCATTTTCATTGATACTTAAACTAGACGGTACCGTTTGAGGAGGGGGGGTCTTCACCATACGCGCACTCATGCAGGAATATCGTTCTGTAAATGCATAAATATGGTGAAAGCGAAACGAAACAAAACAAAAAACGACGCGAACGTTTATTGGCTAGCTTTGATTAATGCAGTGTTTATCTTGTTCTTGGTACAGCGTGGTGACCGCTGCCGACAACTAGTGCGGTTCACTATACCATGCAAAATCCCCGAACCTGCCTGATAAGATAGGTTTGTATTTGTGGTAAGATTCAACATCCATACAGCAACTTTTGTTAGCGTTTACTTGCTTATTTTATTTATCGTGTCTGATTTTGTCGAGCAAACGTGCGGTTTCAAATCGGATTATAAACGGGCACCCGCGTGATGACACCCGCAAGACTTTTTACGAGATTGTCCGACTCGGAATTTTGATATATATATATAAACATACATTCGGACGCCGTTTTTTCTCTTAGAACATGTCCCAGTAAAAAAAAAATATATATAGAATTCGTCCTTCATGGATTCGTGGATCTGTGGATTCTAGGATTCACGTTCTACGTGCTGTAATCGGCTCGTAGAACATCTATAGGTTGTAAAATTTACGGACATTAGTATCTACAGAATCTACATGGTTCAATACCGGAGAATTCTTAGAAGCTATCTCTTCGAAACTCTGAGGCCGGTATTCATAGTCGGTTCTTATTTTTAAGACCGTCTTAAGTACAATCTTAAGATGTCATTAACCGATCACAGAGCCGTATTAGCATCTTAAGACATTACTTAAAACGGTCTTAAAATAAGAACCGACTATGAATACCGGCCTGAGTCTTGGAATGTACGTTCGAAGACCTGGTGGATTCGAGGGTCAGTGACTCGGAGAGATGTTGTGAGAATCGTGGAATTTATGCTTGTGAACGAGCGATTCTCAAAGTCCAGATAACGCCCGATTGTGTAATATCCAGACAATTTAGGATCTTGATATCGGCCAGTTCCAGGATCCGCAGTCCCAGGAATCATCCCATTTGTTAGGTTTCTCTCGGAGTTTGTCCTTTCGTTAGGACTGTAGACTTTGTAGACTAATCATTTAGGCGCGTGAATTTACCGGCGAATAGTAATTTCTGATCTGTAATCTTTTAGCTGCATACAAGTATGCGGACGGTAAAAAAATAAACGGCCGCAGGATCTTGGTTGATTTCGAGCGGGGCAGAACGACGAAGTGTTGGCTGCCACGGAGGCTTGGTGGCGGCTTAGGTGGCCGCGTAGACATCAACATCAAGCATTCAGGGCGGGAAGATGACGAGAGGGAACGGGAGAGAAAAACCTCGGGGCGTGGCCTGGACAGAGACAGGTGAGTGGCAAGGAGTGAAATATATTAATTAACAATATGTGAAAGAAATTATGTATAAAAATTGTCATCTAATCGTTTCAGGGATCGCGACCATTTGGATAGGGAACGTCGCAGATCGCGCGATCGTAAGCGAAGGACTCGGAGCAGATCGTGTGAACGCAGACGCAGGCGAAGTCGCGATCAATTGCCGGATCTCGATATCGAAGAGATCGAACGCCGTGGCAGAAGAGATCGTGACCAAAGCGAACGCGATCGGGATCGCAAGAGGCGACGGTCGCCAAGCAAGGATCGTAAGCGGCACAAGCGGGACATCCAGTAGAGAATTTTGTTTTTATGAAATGTGTGTGTGTGTGTGTGTGTGTGTGTGTGTGTGTGTGTGTGTGTGT